GGGTCTCCTACATTGCAGGCAGATTCTTCACCAACTGAGCTATCAGGGAAGCCCGATTTACTAATTCTCTTACTGGAGATGATTTATTATAGCAAACCATTACATGCTTATTGTAAGAAACTAAAACAGTGCAGAAATCTCAAGTGAAGGAGGGATAGTTGTACCATCCAGAGAGTTTTCTAGATGTCTCTGTGGGTAGACACATTTTACATAAATCTTTGTTTACTGATAATGTTGAAATCTATTTCCTTGTTTAAAAAAAATAATTGTCTTAATTGCTAAGTCATGTCCAGCTCTTTTGCAGCCCCATGGACTGTGGCCCACCAAGCTCCTCTGTCCATGGGGATTCTCCAGGCAAGAATACTGGAGTGAGTTGCCATTTCCTACTCTAGAGGATCTTCCAGAACCAGGGATTGAACCCACGTCTTCTGCATTGGCAGGCGGATTCCATACCACTGAGTCACCAGGACACCTCCCTGCCCTAAGACCAACATCCTGATTTTTTACTCCAGGTACCAAGAAATCTGTTCCCTCTTGGGGAAATATCCCTCGCTTCTCCTACTCTCTCCTTCAAATTTCTTAAAATCAGGATCAGCTTTTACAGGGAAAGTCAAATTATCCAATCAAAAGGCATTGAGGGAGCATTTAGTGTGTGCCTGCCCTATGGGGCAGAAAACTTCAGAATATTTCATACATAAAGAGTGACCCGGTGTGTGAGGACCTGCCATGATGTTTAGAGAGAGGATGCTGGATGCAGAGAATTTAAGGCTCCCACGTGTCAGCAGGCTTGTCCCCTACCCAGTGGCTCGGGAGGTGCCCGGGGAAGGTCCCCAATTAAAACTGCAGCCAGGCCCAGTCATCTGTGTCCAGTCTTCCTGTCCTGTCAGCCTCTCGGTGCTACAAAAGGCTTTAACCCTCTCCCTTCATTTGAATCCCATGACATGTCCTCTCTCTGGTAGGATGTGGGCAAGGGTGCATCCAGCCTTGAGACTTACCTGGTTGCTGAGACTTGACACAGGCTGACATTTCCTACTCCAGCCACTTCCCGTGTTTCCTACTCATCACAATTCAAAGTTCTGCACGCTGGCCTCACACTTGGTGGAAGTGCAGCATTTACACAGAGCTTGTCTGTACCTTCGTGCCCTCCTGACGACCTGGTCAGACGTCCAACCTCATGTTCCCACATCTCCTCATCTTCCAGGGAATGGAAAAAACAGCATCTCAGAATCTGACTGTTTTGCTGTTTTATTGTTCTTATCGTTTCATTTACACACCCCACTCCCAAATGGTCGCAAGGCTTCCCAGGTGGCTCACTGCTAAGGAATCCACCTGCTAGCAGGAGATGTGCATCCGACCCCTGGGTCTGGGAAGATCCCCTGGAGAAGGAAATGGCAACTTACTCCAGTATCCTTGCCTGGAGAATTCCATGGACAGAGGAGCCTGGAGGGCTACAGTCCATGGGTTGCAAAGAGTCAGACATGACTGAGCACATACGCCTGTGGCTGCAACTATGTACAAGCAAGGGTAAAAGAAGGCCTAATTAATAATGATAATGGTAGGGCAACTACAACACTTGTCTAACTATGGATTTTCAGTGATAAACTTACCTATATATTCTTTATTCTTTTTTGTTGGTGGTGGTGAGTTGTTTATTTTTGCCACACCTTGAGGCTTGTAGGATATTAGTTCCCAGACCAGCGACTGAACCCAGGCCCCCGCAGTGGAAGTGCACAGTCCTAACCACTGGACTGCCAGGGAATCCTCATTATTCTTTAACAAATAACTCCAGATGTGATTTATTAACCAATAAGCCATGAGAAATTGCTGCTGAATTGGAGTTTAGATAGATTCCGAATTTGTTGCAATTTTCTCAGGGAATACAGCTGAAAGAGTTTTTGTTTTAGAGAATCTGAAGCAGAGACATAGGTGATTAATTCTCTTCTTGGGTACAGAAGCAGCAGGCAGTATTTATACTGACTCAAATACAGGCAGCTTCATCACTGTTTTTACAACATCTAGATTCAAATCACGAGGAATAAAGAATGCCATTAGTCAGGACCTCAGACTGAGTCAGTTGGCAAGTTTCTCTCTTTAAAAGAACACAGAATCTGCCTGCAAGGCAAGAGAATTTCCTGTGATGCAGATGTGGGTTTGATTCCCCGGCCAGGAAGATCTGGAGTAGGAAATGGCAACCCACTCCAGTGTTCTTGCCTGGGAAACACCATAAACAGAGGAGCCTGGTGGGCTACAGTCCATGGGATCATAAGAGTCGGACACAACTTAGTGATTAAACCACCATCACAATGTGAAGGGAATGTCTGAAAAGGCTCCTTCAACTCCATTAGACAACGTGAAAATTTAGCAACTAAAGACCTATTAGTTGATTTAGATGAGATGATTCATCCCTTGGTTCCCACACCACATTCTCAGGGTGGTGGGCAGCAGGATGCATTTTTTCAGAATGGAAACGGCCATTGTTTACTCAGCAATCTGAGCCCTGGTAGGAATCTCTGCACTTAGATGCACAAAGGAGAGTGGAGATATGCTTTAAAAGAAAAAAAAAAAAAGAGCTACAGATGCAGCTGGAAGCATATGGTGGCCTTCGGGTTTGAGATAAAATAGCACAAGTAGAAACATGTGCTAGCTTTGAAAGATATTTAATAGTTGACTTAAAACAGGCCAGGCGTCTTACCTTTTCTCTCCCACCATCTACATCCAAACTTGAGTAATAGTTATTGTCAGGCTGTTTTTTGTTTTTTTTTTTAAACCCTTTCACCAAGTTTCTCCCATGGTTTAAATGCCTCAGTATTTTATTTTGTCCCTTTCCTTTATAATTCCAATTCTAGATTTCTCAAGCTGGTTTTTGAAGCCCTCCAGGATTTGACCTGACCATTATTAACAATTTTATCTTACTTCCCTAATACACCCCCTAAAGTCCAGGCACAGGAGTCTCTGTGGAATCTATAGCTGTTGTTTTCATACCTAAAAATTCTCCCTCTGATTTTTCCTGGGTTCAGCTTTCTCTCCTCTGACTTTCCAGGTCCCTGTCATCATGCCCTGATCCTACCAGCAGTTCCCCACCTTTGATGAGAACATCCCTGGCTACACCTCTCCTCTGTGCAGCAGGCCCTCTGGCTGACCAGGAGCACTGTGACACAGGGGCACAGACATGGCCTTTCACTGTGGACTGTCCTGGTATTCCGTAAGGACTGAGTTGTTGTTCTTTATAATACTGTATGCAGCTCGAGAACAGGGATCAGAACACTACATTTTGCTTTCTTTTTTCTCCCAAGAAAAACTCTCCCCAAACTGACATTATAGAGCCAGGCACTCAGTCTGGCTGGCCAGCAGGGTGACTACACCTACTTCTGAAGTGTTTGCTTCCATACTTAACAGATTAATAAATAGACATTCAGAGGATTTAGCAATCCCAAACAATCAGCTCTGATCTAAAAATAGAGCAAAGCCTCTGGTTTCTCAGAACCGTTTCTCTCCTTCATTCGAGTTGCTTCCAAGTATGACAAAGAATTTGCTTTGAAACACTTAAATTTTTTTTAACAATTGAAATGCTGTCACTGCCAGTTTAGGGTTTTACTGAGTGTGTGCTGTGCTTTCTCTTATGTCGGCAATTTTAGGCCCCAGATATTTCTGTGGCACCAGGTTTTTCCACCCATGACAGGATTTGGGTGGGTAAGATTTACAATTTTTAATTGAGGTAAGATTCAGGTAATATAAAGTTTACCATTTTTGACCATTTTTAAAGTATACAGTTCAATGGTTTTTAACATTTCCAGTGTTCTGCAGCCATCATTACCATTGAGTTCCAGAACATTTTTATTACCCCCAAAGGCAGTCCTTTATTGTTAATGGGGAACAGTCATTCCCATTTCCTCTTCTCTTAGTCTCTGGCAGCCACTGTCGTGCCTTCTGTCTCTTTGCTTCGATTTATCCTGGATATTTCATATAAATGGAATGTGTTTGCTTTCTTCCCCCCTTTATTCTATTAACATGATGTATTGATTTTTTTTTTCCTATGTTGAGCCAGGAAACCACTCAGTCACAGTGTGAAAATCCTTTTCATATGCTGCTGTATTTGGTTGCTAATCCTGTGTCGAGGGTTTCTCCCTCTATATCCATAAGGGCTAGGGGTCTGTAGTTTCCTTGTGTTGTCTTTGTCAGGTTTGGCTAATAGGGTAATACTGGCCTCACAGAATGATTTAGGAAGAGTCTTTCTTGGTTAAGATTGTGAGAATGGGTGTTAATCCTTTAAATGCTATAAGTCGCTGATAAGGCCATCTGATTTGGGGCATTTTTGGAAGGTTTTTGATTACTAACTCAATCTCCTTATTCATGTTGGTCTGTTCAGATTTCCTACTTATACATGATTAAGTGTTTAGATGTTTGTTTCTTCTAGGTTAACCAGCTGACACACAATTATTCGTGGTGTGTTTACCCTAACTCTGATTTGATGTCTGAGAGCAAGGAGAAGGCAAGCCAGTAGGGGGCTGCCCTAGGAGCTGGGGGAGAGTGGGGAGGGGGCTGCAGGTGAGAGTGAGTGGCTTATGGGAGGTCCTGTTTCCTGGAAGACCCCCTCCCTCCCCCGAATCCCCTGAACACAGTTCTGGGATCCTCTCCCTCTACAAAGTACCAGACTGTCCAAGAATCACAGACTCACTCAGTTCTTATGTCATCCAAAGGACTGAATTACTGCGGAACCATGGCCTCCGAAGCTCGAGATTTCTGTACCACCCCTGACTTCCTACCTTTATAGGTGGGTGAATGAGAGACACAGTTGAGGCCACAGATTTGTAAAGAAGCAGAGTTTTATTGGAACAAAAGGCCCCAAACATGACAACTGGGGTAGAGGAAGTAAACGAGTTCAAATGTCTTTTTGACAGCTTAGGGAATGTGTTTCAAGAAGAGTGTAAAATGTTTTGATTTAGTCTGCGCTCTTGGAGCAGGTGAGGGGGTCAGGAGGATGCTCTGGCGGGGCCTCGGGGTCAGACTGAAATGGTGGTCTGTGGTGGGCACACATTCCTCCTGTGTCTGCTGAGGTGGCACTTCTGGCTGAAGCCTTGCCCGCACGCACTGCACACATGCGGCGTCCTCCCCTGGTGTGTCATCTGGTGGAGGATGAGGTGTGACTTGTGGGGAAAGCCTTGGCCGCACTCCGTGCACAGACAGGAGTTCTCTTCCGAGTGTGACCACTTGTGCATGAGCAGCGCGGACTTGTTGCCGAAGCCCCTCCCGCACCGCCGGCAGTTGTATGGCTGCTCCCTTGTGTGTGTGCGGCGGTGCCGAATGAGGCCCGACTGGTGGCGGAAGCCCCGCCCACACTCTCTGCACACGTATGGCTTCTCCCCGGAATGCGTCCTCTGGTGTGCCACGAGGTTCGACTTCTGGCTGAAGCCTCGCCCGCACTCCGCACACACCAGGGGCTTCTCCCCCGAGTGCGTCCTCTGGTGTCGGATGAGGTTGGACTGCTGGCTGAAGATGCGCCCGCAGTCCTTGCACACGATGGGTTTGTGTCCGGAGTGCGTGTTCTGGTGCCTGTTGAGATGGGACTTGAGACTGAAGCCCCGCCCACACACCCCACACACGTAAGGCTTCTCCCCGGTGTGTGTGCGCCTGTGCGAGATGAGGGTTGAATTCTGGCTGAATCTGTGACCGCACACTCCACACACGTAAGGCTTCTCCTTTGAGTGTGTCCTCTGGTGGTTGACGAGCGTGGACCTCTGCCGGAAGCAGCGCCCACACTCTTTGCAGGCATACGGCTTCTCCCCTGAGTGCGTCCTCTGGTGCGAGATGAGGTTCGACCTGTCGCTGAAACCCAGCCCGCAGTCGCTGCACACGATGGTCTTCTCCTCCAGGTGTGTCCTCCGGTGCCTGACGACGGCCGATTTCTGGCTGAAGCCTTTCCCGCACTCCTGGCACACGTAGGGCTTCTCCCCAGAGTGTGTCCTCTGGTGGATGATGAGGTTCGACTTCTGGCTGAAGCCTCGCCCGCATTCACCGCACATGTACGGCTTCTCGCCCGAGTGTGTCCTCTCGTGTATGATGAGTGTCGACTTCCGGTTAAAGCCCCGCCCACACTCCCCACACACGAGAGGCTTCTCCCCTGAGTGCGCCTTCTGGTGTCTGGCCAGGCTCTTCTTTAGACTGAAGCCCTTCCCACACACCCCGCACACGTAGGGCTTCTCCCCGGAGTGGATCCTCTGGTGACTGAGCAGGTTCGTCATCTTGCTGAAGCCCAGTCCACACTCTCCACAGTTGACAGTTCCAAACCCCAGGACTTCGATCCTCTTCAACAGCGTGTCTGTTTCCTCAGGGGTCCCCAACTGTGCCGGGCCGGGCTCTATCTCCATACCTGGGACCCCACCCCCGGAGATGGCTGGCTGCCTCTGGGTTGGCCTGGGGAATGCTCCTATAGTACTTTTCTCTGTCTTTCCAAACAAAGGCGGGGCACCTTCTCTCTCCTGCCCTTCCACTTCCTCGATCCAGGCACTACCACCAGCGGCCTGCTGCTGCTGGTCCTCCAGGCACAGGTCTCCTGGCTGGACGGGATCTTCGGCATACAGGCACGTGAAGATCCAGGGTGGGGGACTACACAGCACCTGCTGCATGTGGAATTTCTGACTGCAGAGATCCGGAGGGCAGAAAGGGCAGAGGTGGAGTTCCGGCTTCGGTTCTGTGGCAGAGAGAAGAGTCTGAGTCAGAACTGAGACATGGAGCCGCCAAAGTGGTTCTGCCTCGTCTGATGGTTCCCTGTTCTTCAAAATGTTTACATCTTCAGGGCCACCCAGCAAGACTTCCTGCAGAGGACCTCCTAATGCACAACCACCCAGTGATACAAACAGGGTCCAAAGAGATTGTCTGTGACCAAGAGAGCTCTAACCACAGGACCCACATGGAAATGTCTTTGTCTTTCCTGTCTCCCTGGCAGGATGGGGTGGAAGAAGAGAGCTGTCCCTGAGCCTGGAAGACCCTGGTGTAGGTGGTGTAGGAGGCAGCACAGCGGAGTGGCTAAAGATACCACATGTGAGACATCTGAACCTGGAGGGTCCTGACTCACTGACAAATACTTATCAGAGGACTACCCTGAACCAGAATTCCCACAAGGCAGGGCTTCCCTGGTGGCTCAGACAGTGAAGAATCTGCCTGCCAATGCAGGATACACAGGTTTGACCCCTGGGTCGGGAAGAGCCCCTGGAGGAAGACATGGCAACCCACTCTAGCATTCTTGTCTGGAGAATTTCCATGGACAGAGAAACCTGGCAGGCTATAGTCCATGGGGTCACAAAAGAGTTGGACATGACTGAGTGACTGACACTTTCTTTCACTTGTTCACTTTCAGGAGGCTTTCAGCAGTGGACAACACACACACAGTCTAGGCCTCCCAATGACTGGTGTCCCGGATCAGTTTGAGTCTTGTTAATTTCCATAATTAACCTAAATAAAAATGGCACCAGGAATCAATATTAAAGTTTTCTTCTTATAGTATCTCTTGTGAGGAGATGTCAACACTGAACACCTTGCTTCAGCACGGCTGGTTCTACTCAGCTGACGGGAATGCAGGATCACATAGTCTGAGGAACCAGGTCCAGACCTCACTGCATCTGCCTGAACACTTGCCTTCACTGGTGAACTGAACTTTTGAAAACCAACTGTGTATACATCTACATTCTAGAATTATTCCATCAGTATAGAATGCTACTATATTTGGAGACAGGGCCTTTAAAGAGGTAACTAAGGTTAAAAGAGGTCATAAGGCTCTAATCAATATGTCTGGTGACCTCCCTGTAGGAGGAAAGCCAGGATGTGCAGCCTCAGAAAGGCCGGGTGAGGACAGAGTAAGGACGTGGCCCTTCAAAGTCCAGGAGGGAGGCCTCCTGTGTAAACTGCCAACACCTCCGCCAGCCAAGAACTGCGAGCCTCCAGAAACACAGTAAAACCTTTTGCTTCTGCCATGAACTCTGGTGCTGTGTTTCAGCAGCTTGAGCTAAGAGAGATGCTTCTTCTACCCTGAGCTCTTCTCTAAGTGCCTCTGTACCTGCCCTACAGTCTGCCCCTAAGTAAGTCCCATGAAATCCATCAGCTGTTCCAGTAAATGTGTAAGGGCCAAAGTCCCTATTCAAAGATAACAGTTAGTTTGGCAGAAAATGCAATAGCAGCTACATGACACCCCAAATCACATTAAATACCATACCAAAACTCTCTAAAAAACAAAGAGCCACAACAAAGCAGGTGCTAAGACTAATAAGAAATAATAGGATCGATATGTACACACCACTATATTTAAAATGGATAACTGACAAGGACCTACTGTACAGCACAGGGAACACTGCTCATGTTATGTAAACACTGCTCATGTAACAGCCTGGATAGAAGGAGAGTTTGGGGGAGAATGGATACATGTATATGTGTGGCTGGGTCCCTTCACTGTCCACCTGAAACTATCACAACATTGTTAATCAGCTATACTTCAATATAAAATTTAAAGGTTTTTAGGAAAAAAAAGGAAAGTTTAAGGAATATAATGTGGAACAAAAGAATTTTAACATTAAAAACTTCACTAATGAATGAGATAAAACTGTCATGAACCTTTACATGCCTAACAGTACACTGAAGTGAAATATATAGCAAAAACTTAGAAATAAATGGAGGATTTGATATAAATTACGATGACATTGGTGAGAAATCTGCTAAGTAATCTGCTATGACTCTTAGCAGACAAAAAACAAGGATATAAACAACTTGAAAAATATAAATGATTTCTATTATATATGCTATTTCCCTTGATTCTAAGACAAAATTAACTAAGCTTTCAAATTTGATAAAACTGAGAAATAGAAAATCTCTTACAGAAAAAGAAAACATATACTTCTATTATTAAATTGTCAACAGTATTTTAAAAGCTAAAAAGCACACAATTCCCTACAGTTATCTATACCTCTATCATTTAAAAAGAATGTCGAATCCATGGCTGATTCATGTCAATGTATGGCAAAAACCACTACAATATTGTAAAGTAATTAGCCTCCAAGTAATAAAAATAAATGAAAAAAAAAAAAAAGTCCAAGCACAAAAAAAATAAAAACAAAAAGAATGCCGAGTCAAAAAACTTCCCAGAAACCCCACTCTTTCCAATTCTATACCCACCAAGCTAACCACTGATCATGGTCAATAATAATGCAGATGTCTATGTTCACCTACACATGTTGATAGTCTTTCACACAAACCCAACTATGTAATAAACACTGTTTTGCAATTTTTCACTTAAAAATGTATCTTCTAAGTATCTGGTTTTCTGTTAAAGAAGGTAAAAGAAAATCTGCTCTTCATTAATGAACAATTAGGAAGCATCATCACAAAAATGGAAAGTTATAAAAAAAAAATACAGTCTCAGTAAACAGTGGGACAATGTAAAAAGGACTAATACACACATAACTATCATTCCAAAAAGAAGGAAAGAGAAGGGAACAAAAGAATCATGAAACAATAATATCCAAAAATCTCCCCAGTTTGGCTCTAGCCATAAATTTATAGATTCAAAAATCTGAGCATACGCTATGACAGGAAAAATGCAAAGAAAAGCAGCTCACTTCCTTAGTGACATCACAGTCAAACAGCTGCACACCAAACATACAGAAAACTCTGAAAGCAGCCAGAGGTTTAAAAAGTAACAAAAAAAGCAATAACTGTGGAAATGATAGCTGATTTCTTATCAGAGACAATGGGAGACCTGAACAGGGGAACAGTATCTTTAAAGTGGTGAAAAAAAAGCCAATCTAAAATTCTATATCCAGGGAAAATATCCTTCAAGAATAAAGGTGAAATAAAGACACGTTCAGAAAAACAAAATGTAAATGAACACACTGCCTGCCCACCCCCCCACCACAAGAAATGCAAGATCACAGAAACACTATCAGGTGGAAACACACATCCTCAGGGAAATAAGGCAAAGCACAGAAAATAGTAAATTATCTGGATAATTAAAAATAAAAGAATGTTTTTTATTTTGATTAAAAATACATGTGTGTGTTTAAAACAAAAATTTTAACATGGTATTATGGAGTTTAGGGAGTCTGAGGTGCAGTACAAATGACAACTATAGACTAAAGCACACTGGGGAAAGGCTGTAACTGCAAGCATGTGACTGTACTGCCCTGACATTTTACGTAATGTGGATTCCAGAACAAGTAGGAAAGGAGAAGTGAAGGCCGTGACTGTGATCCCTCTGAGCAGGAGTCAGCAAACTTCTTAAATGGCCAAATAGTAACCAGTTTAGGCTTTGAGGGCTAAGCGGCAAAATGAGGGATTATATATGTAATTGCATAACCATTTAGAAAATCTCACCCTCCTGGACGAAATCCATTCTGACAATATTTTTAGAATTCAATTTCCTAATCGGCTGTTTACAGACTGCCTTCCTTCCATGGGGCCTGCCTTTTTTCTTCAGCTCCCTTAGTTTTACTTCCATGTTCTTGCTTCATCTTTTAAAATATAGTAACAAGAGCCACCAGACTATGTATGTGGGAGAGAACTAAGTGAGGCAGAGACGGCAAACCCTGTGTAAGAAGGAGACGAGACACCAGGAAGCTCGAGTGTGGCTGCAGGTCTGGAAGGAGGCCATGAGGGCAGTGCACACGGTGAGCAGCCAGGGGGCCAGCAGAAAGACGTCCCCGCCCCCAGCCCTCTGAACCACCCAGTGTCCCCACTCACCCACGCAGCTGACCGGCGAGCATTTTCTCTCTTCTCTCCAGGTCTCCTTCCCTTGCTCCAGCTGGGTGATGAGTTTTGGTTTAGAAAACGGAATGCCTGCTCAGAGGAAAAGAGAACAAGATGGTCGCAGGTTATCCTACACTCAGAGCCACACCAGGGGGCGATTTCTAATGGTGGTGGGGAAGATCTGAGAGTGGTGAGCTCCCCGCCAGGGAAGGGAAGCCAGGATGGGAGTTCACTGACCCGACTTCATGCTGTGAGAGAACACCTCCCTCGTTTACAAGAAGATATTGACTAGGAACAGATGCCATGCTTACCAGAGAGCCTGCAGGAAAAGGCTAGAAATGCGGGGTATCACACACATATATTCACACCTGTACACATGTATAGAGTGTCTCTGCTTTTGAGTCCAACCCAAAAGTAAGGCCAGAAAGCAAGAGGGCTGCTCCAAGTTGCCAGCAGCCAGGACCCAGGTCCTGAGAGATGCAGGCTTACCCAGTGAGACCAGGTTGCTGTAGTTCTCCAGCATCACCTCCCGGTACAGGGACCTCTGAGCAGGGCTCAGCAGCACCCACTCATCCTGGGTGAAATCCACAGCCACATCTCTGAATGCCATGTGTGCCTGTAACACAAAACAGCCCTGCTCACCCGGGAGCCAGACCTGCCCAGGCCTCAGGGTAAGGGGCAAGGGGGAGGCTGCCCAGGGGAGGCAGGGGAGAGATCTAGATCCTGCCTTTGACCCTGGTGCTCTGTATTCCAAGATCTTTAAAGCCCTGTCACCATTTGGGCAGTGGCACTTGTCAACACGTTCAAGGTCCTGGGTGGGTTGATTTGGCGAATACATGCAAAAATAGGAGCCTGTAACTTTTAGGAATTTTAACTCTATGCTGAGGGAGAGCGCAAACAACATAAAAATTAAACAACAGTAAAGCAACAGACTTTTGAGTTTTAAGAATTTAAAAGAATAGTCTGAATCATGGTATTAGTGTTGAAGCATCCGAATGACTGAGGTTCACACAATTCAGTTATGGCAAAGACCAAACACAACTCAGTCCCTTCCTCAATCCCACAGCCCCTCCTTGCCTGAGAGGCACTGACCAGCAGGGAATAGTGAAAAGCACGAACTTGAACCCTACTGCCCTGATTTGGAGCCCATCCCAGCCATCAACTAGCATTTCCGCTTTTTCAACTGCGGGTAACAGTCCACTAAATGTCCTGTCCCACACTGTAGTGCTCAGGGTGGACATCCCTGCCCAACTGTACTGCCTTTATCGCAACACTGTTTCAAAGTGGGAAGCACCCTGGAACAGACATCCATATCCAGAGAGGTTTTCACAAGAGGCCCAGGAACTTGGTCTTGAACGAAGCACAGGAGTCTAGGGAAGAGAAATGTGCCAGGGGTTCCCGATGAGGTGTATGGGGAGCAGAGAAGAGGACACCTGAGCCAAGGAGGAGAGGAAGCCTGAATCCTGGGACGTAGGACCACTTGGGAGGAATAAAAGGCACTAAGTGATAGAAATGCAGAACAGGTTGAGTGTAGGAGCAGCTTGTGGGTTTTAGATGATTATAAAATATACATATGCATTTTACTATTTTTACCATTTGAAGTGTACATTTCAGTACATTAAGCATGCTCGCACTTAATGTGGTACAACCATCACCACTATCCATCTCCAAAACTGGTTCATCATCTCATGTTGAAACTCTGTGACCATTAACCATAATTCCCTTTCTCACAAACCCTGGTAACCAACCATCATTTTACTTTCTGTCTCCATACATTTGGCTATTCTAGGTATCACAAATATGTGAAATCATACGGTGTCTGTCCTTTTGTGTCTGCTTATTTCATTCAGCGTAATGTCTTCAAGTTTCAGCCATATACTCCAAAGAAGACGTACAGATGGCCAAGAGACACATGAAGAGAGGCTCGGCATTGCTAACTGATAGAGAAATGCAAATCAAAAGTACAACTCACACCAGTCAGAATGGCCATCCTCAAAAAGTCCACAAACAATAAATACGGGAGAGGATGTAAAGAAAAGGGACCCCTCCCACACTGTTGGTGGGAATGTAAAATTGGTAACAGACCTACTAGAGAACAGTATGGAGGTTCTTTAAAAAAATAAAAATAGAACTACCACATGATCGAGCAGTCCCACTCCTGGGAACATACCCAGAGAAAATCATAATTTGAAAAGATACATGCACCCAGTGTTCACTGTAGCACTATTTTTTATGGCCAAGACATGGAAGCAACCTAAACGTCCATCAACAGAGCAATGGAATAAATGGATAAAGAAGATGTGGTACAGGCCTTCCCTGGTGACTCAGTGGTAAAGAACCCACCTGTGAATACAGCAGATGCGAGTTCCAGTGGTAAAGAATCCTGTGAATACAGGAGACATGAGTTCGATCCCTGATCTGGGAAGATCCCACATGCCTTGGAGCGACTAAACCCGTGTGCCACAACTACTGAACCTGTGCTCTAGAGCCTGTGCTTTGCAACAAGAGAAGCCACCTCAATGAGAAGCCCGTGCACCACCACTAAACAATAGCCCCCACCTGCTGCAACCAGAGAAAAGCCCAAGCAGCAATGAAGACCCAGCACAGCTATGAATAAATAAATTTTTTTTTTAAATGTAGTACATCTTTGTACAATGGACTGTTACTCAGCCATAAAAAGAATGAAATAATGTCATTTTCAGCAACATGGATGGACCTAGAGATTATCATACTAAGTAAAGTAAGTCAAAGACAAATATATCACTCATACATGGAATCTAAGTTTTTAAAATGATATAAATGAACTTATTTATAAAACAGAAACAGACTCACACACTTAAAAACAAAATGTATGGTTACCAAAGGGGAAATGTGTGTGTGTGGTGGGGAGAGGAATAAATTAGGAGTTTGGGATTAACATACACACACTACAATATATAATATATAAAGTATACAGACAGATAACCAACTAGACCCTACTATATAGGACAGTGAACCTTCCTCAATACTCTGTAATAACCTATATGAGAAAAGAATCTGAAAAAGAATGAACATATGTATATATATATATATAACTGAATTAACTTTTCTGTACACCTGAAATTAACACAACATTGTAAATCAACTGTACTACAGTAAAAATTGGGGGAAAAAGATGACCTGAATCAAAGTATGAAGGGCCTACAAAGTACCAGGGAGAAGATGACACACAGCCAACAACTTCAAGGTACCTATCTACTGGAAAAACTGTCAGGCTCTGAAGAATAACAAGAAAACTCCTAAGTGACTCAAGACAAAAAATATACCAGACTTCCATGAGACTTCAAAATCATCATTCAACCCATTTGCACTGTAGGTGGGAATGTACAGTGGTGCAAGCACTATGGAAAACAGCACAGCACTTCCTCAAAAATTTAAAACTACACATTATCATATGATCTACCAATTCCACTTCTGGGTATTTCCCCAAAAGAATTGGAAGCAGGGACTTGAATAGATATTTGTACACTCGTGTGAGCAGCATTATTCACAACAGCCAAAATGTAGACGTGATCCAAGTGCCTGTTAATAGACAAATGGATAAACAAAGAGTGGGGTGTGTGTGTGTATGTATATATATGATGGAATATTATTAAGCCTTAGAAAAGAAATTCTGACACAAGCTACAACATGGATGAACATTAAAGACACTATGCTAAGTGAAACAAAGCAGACACAAAAGGACATATATAATTCCACTTATATGAGGTACCTAGAGTAATCCATATAGACAAAGTAGAATGATGGTTGACAGGAGCTAGGAGGAAGGGGAAATTGAGTTATTGTTTAATAGGGATAGAGTTTCATTCTGAAAAGTTCTGGAAATGGAGAGTGCGAATGGTTGCACAACAATATGAATGTACGTAATGATACTGAACTATATACTTAAAACAGTTAAGATGGTAAGTCTTATGTTATATATATTGTATCACTTTAAATGCATGGCAAAAAGAATATCATTCAAAGCAATAAGAAAATATTTCGGGGACTTCCCTGGTGGTCAGGCGGCTAAGACTTCGAACTCCCAATGCAGGGGGCCTGGGTTCGATCCCTGGACAGAGAACTAGACCCCACATGCCACAACTAAGACCCAGCAGGGCCAAATAAATAAATAAACAAACAAATATTAAAAAAAAAAAAATTCACCAAGACAAAGTGCCCAGAAATGTAAGACTGGTTGAATATGAGGAAATTCATTACTGTAATATACTGTATTAACGAACTGGACCAAGGAGAAAAAACATGATTGCATTGATACATGCTAAAGTATTCTTTAACAGAACTCATCCAACATCCAATTCACTGTAAGACTGATGAATCCATAGAACTTTTCACTTTGAATTTTAGACTTAAGAAGTTGCAAAAATATCAGTTCCCATGTAACCTTAATCCAGTTTTCTCTAATGTTAACAACTGAGAAAACTATACTACAATGATCAAAACCAGATTAACATTGATAATTATTACTATTATCTAAACTACAGCTCATAACCACATTTCAACAGGTTTTTCTACGAATGTCCTCCTTCTTCTGGTCCAGGATTCAACTGAGGTTTTCACACTGCATTTAGCTGTCATATATCTTTAGTCTCCTCCAATCTGTGACAGTTCCTTCTTTTCATGAATGGCATTTTTGAAGAACAGCCCTAAATTGTGATTTATCAGATTTAAGAAAAAAATGATTAGAATGACCCTATTCACTTTTGGCTAGACTGTCTCAGAAGTCACATGCCCTTTTCACACCCCTTGATAGCAGTTCAAGATATTGGTATGTTTCACTACCGATGATGTTAACTTGATCTTGATCACTTGGTTAAGGCAGTGTCTGCTGGGTTTCTTCATTATAAAGTCACTCATTTTGCCTTTATATTTAATATACATCTTGGGAGAGATACTTTGAGGTTATACAAATATCCTGTTCCTCTTCAACCTTTTACCAAATAATTTTAGCATAATCTTGTGGGACCTGTCTGCAACCATTATTACTGCGGTGTTGACCAAATAACAATGTTCTATCTCTTTTCCTTTGAAATTCATTAGCTGGAATTCTGTAAGCAAGAGTTGTCCCTTCTCTTTTTTTTTAATTACTTAATTTATTTTTGGCTGTGCTGGGTCTTCGTTGCTGCATGCAGGCTTTCTCCAGTTGTGGCAAGCAGGGACAACTCTTCGTTGCAGTGTACGGGCTTCTCACTGCAGTGGCTTCAGTGGTCGTGGAGCACAGGCTCAGTTGCTCCATGGCATGTGGAATCTTCCCAGACCAGGGATTGAACCCATGACCCCTTCACTGGCAGACAGATTCTTATGCATTGTATCACCAGGAAAGTCCAAGAGTCCTTCTTATTTATTTCAGTGTGGATTCATAGCTTATCCTAGGGGTTATATTAGAATATTATCACTATTTTGCTGCTCAAATTATTTCTTCAAACACTGGGAGCTCCTTCAGGCTGACCTCATCCCTGCTTTCACCCACAAATGTGGGACAAATGATGTGGTGTCAGTCACAGGCTTAAGTCTGTATGCTCTCGGGGGGCCCAAGGCACCAGCTTAAGAACGCCAGCTCCCTTGCTAGAG